GATAAATTAAGTGAAGAGATAATGAGGAAGCAAACCTGGTGGCCATGACACAGCCCTAGCTTGAACTGACCAATGGTTAGTGTTTTGGTCTCTGGGTATTTTGTCTCTTCATCATACTCACCTCGAGTAATATGCAAGTCGGGACAAAGTGTCTTCAAGTAGTCATGAACTTCCTGAAATTTAGTAGCAAATGCTTAGAAGTGGCATAATGTACGACCAAAATAATTGTGACCTTAAGAAACTTAATAATGTACAACCAAAATAGTAGTAGTGCTGCAGGAACTAAAAGTAGATTATTAGCCATTGCATGAGCCGTTACATACTTGGAGACCAAGCAGATACGATGACAAACATAAGACAGATTAGAAATAACTGGCAAAGTAATAGATGTCAGAGTATATGTACAAATTAACGAAATGAAAGTTCTATCCAGAAATCTTAGCAATAGCAACAGGGTATATGCAGACATTAACCAATGAAGCAGTCGGTAACAAGAAATTCTTCGCGTTCAAAATAAATATACACATGGGTGGACGCACACTATTTCCTATAGTCAGTCGTATCCAAATGACATTGTTTTCAGGAAATCACTCTCAATCCAAGTCTATACAGCAACATGCGCAAAAGTTCGACAATAAGCCACATTCATAATGCCTTTCCTATATGCAAGATATTACTTTCTGGGCAACCAAACAAGAGAAAACACAGCAAAAATAACCCAAAGATCACGTCGAAATGGGATCAAGACCCAATAGCCAAAATTGAAGAAAATCAATGAGGGATTCACAGAATCCCAGAAAGAAACATACTTTGATACAAAGATTTCCAGTGCAAATGATGTGCTGGATCTTGCCAGGAACAAGCATGGACTTGAACTTTGCAGGCAGATCAGGTGCCCTGTGGGGTATGTGCAAATCCCCCAAGGCCAACACCAACACCATCCTCACTCACTCTCGCCACTAATCAAAACCCACTTCACAAAACCTGCAGAAAACCTCCAAAAATTAAATATAAAATTAAAAACAAAAGGGTTTGCATATGAAATCACGAAATTCTTCTTGAAATTAACTAATTAATCAGTAATTAGCACAAACTAAATACAATTAAGTAATTGGGAATAAATTGAATGGGATTTAAGAGAATTGGGATCGTACCTGAGGAATTTTGGTTGATCTTGCAGAAAGCTTATGGCATGGAAATTGTAAAACCTCCTTCGTTGGTGATGTGCTCTCAAATTCTTCTTCTTCCTGGGGTACTGTCTTTTTTGTCAACGGACGTTCATAAGGCCACGACGTCGTTTCGAGCCATAGAGCGGGATGCTCAGTTGGGCCTAAGATTTGAGCTTTCATTACAAAACCGAAACTCAAGTGCCCAACCCAATGAGCATATGAAATGGCAAAGAAGCCCAACAATACAAGCCTCAGGCCCAAGGCTCCTTGCTTTTTTTAAATAAATAATGTTTTTTTTCACATGCAACGGCAAGTGCGATGACGTTTTTGGGCTACAAAACGGCTGAAACATAATTAGGTATCAAATTTATTATATGTGTAAATTCAAACTTCAGACTTTTATTGATCGAAAAAAAAAACTTGAGATCTCGAGGTTGTTTGAGCCAAGTTGTAATTTGGGCAGACCAAGTTAATGGTATGACAAACTTGTCTTTGTTTGAGCCAACCGAAGCAGGAGAAACAGAGACTACCACTAAACTGTAAAAATGGTGACTAATAAATCAATAAGTTTTGGTCAAACAGTATGAAATAAATTATGAATCTATTAATGGAGTTTGTGTGGCCTTACTTTTTTGCAATTTGGCTTTGTGTGATCCTCGTGATCGAATCTTTCACCATTGATCTATTGTGGCATATTCGAACTAATGTGGCTCTTGTGTGTTGGTTGTGGTGGCCGTGTAGGGGATTTATAACTATTGTTTGACGTGTTTTGTTCTCTGCGGGTCAAAAATTTGGTCACTGCAGAACATGCACCTAGTTGGCACCCTTCTTGTAACCATAGCTACCATATTGTATTTGTGTTTTCTATTAATGAATTATTGTTATCGCTTCGGTTAAAAAAATGTATTTCAATATAATTAAAAGTATATTACACAAATAAGTTTACTAACGTTTCCTTATTGATTCTTACACACAACAAAAGTTATAACTGTGTTCTATGTTATAGGTCAAGAAAGGGTTGCTCATACCCTCGTATGAATTTGACAAAAACCGAAAAGGGATTCCATATCTACGACCCTATATATAAACCTAGCGTGGCCCGTCGACGTAGAATATATACTTTCTAAGCGTTTAAGAGTTTACCCGCAACTTCTACATATAGATGACGATGACGAATAATAGTTGTATAGAGTTTGTGACAGTTGTACACGACAACTTTCAACCCTTGATCGGTATTAAAAAAAAAAAAAAAAAAAACTTCGCGTACATGGTTTCATCTCAGGCAAGAAAAGCATATACATGTATAATCTTTCAACTGACGCACATGATAGATAGCTCGTTTGGAAGTAATTTTAAAATGACTAAAAGCGTTTAAAAAAAATGGTTCTAATAGCACTTACTAAGAATTGGTTCCACAAACGCATTCAGTAATTTTAAAAGCACTTCCAAGCAAGCTCAGACTCATAATCATATTTCAGAGCACATCATGCAGAGAATTGTGTGGTGATGGATATATATCATAATGTAACATGTAGGGTTTAGCGTTCAAATTGCACAATCACCACGGTTCATACATCCTAATTAATTTTAGCCTCTCCAAATATGAAGGGAAAACCAAGCTATCATACATACGTGAAACACCTGAGCCAAAGCTCATGTGTAACAACTGGCCATATGCAAACTAATATTCCACCATGTTTTACAATGTATATTTCGTACGTTGTGACTTGTTTGGGACTTAACCTGAGTCACCGGCGTGATTAACGAACCATCAAGATCTATATTAATAAAAGATATTTACAAGCTATCGTACTACAACAACCAGCCAATGTTTGATTAATTTCTTTTATCATCGTTGTACTTTCACATAAGATTATTGTTTCATTTATATTCTAAAGTCACGTAATATTATTGTTTTGTTTATATTTTAAAGTATGTATATTGATTTATAACTGAAAACACACTCTATGTCCATCAATTATCATATCATTACTTATATTATAACATATAAATTAATAATATTAGTAACCACTTTAGAGAGATTATTAACTTGTAGATAGAGTGAGTAAAATACTGACACACTCAAATGGCATGAAAGAAATCATTTAAGGTATATATGCCATTAGCCTTATGTGCTTATGTGGTTGGTCTAGTGGAAAGCAAGCAAAGGTTTGGAACCCTTTAACTTGAGTTTGAACTCTCACGGATACATTTCTTTGGGTAATCAACTTTGCTTTTGCGTATCCTTTGACCTAAGAGCCAAAAGTACGTTCATGTCTCATGTAGTGTCATGGCTGTATAAGGAAGGGATTAGTTTATCATAAATGTATGGTGAGATACCTCTTATATATTAATGTATAATTGTTGTCATCACGACCTCCAAGCTTGTGGATACATGTTGGTTGAAGAAGGTTGAGGTTCCACCATTAAACCAATTGGCAATATGGGGAGTAACCCAACTTACTTATAAGCTCATGCAAGGCTCCTCCTCCCATCAATGTGAGATTCACTCTCAACGCACCCCCTCACGTGTGGCAAATTTTCAAGCCTAACACGTGGACAACACAACGACGTGACGTGAAGCGCATGTGACTGTTTGGCTTTACACTTGAGACAACCTGACTCTGATACCATGAAGAAAGTTGAGGTTCCATCATAAAACCAATTGGCAATACAGGGAGTAGCCCATCAAAATACCAACATTGGTCACGTCATTATTTGTTGTGATTTGGCTCATCAAAATACCAAGACTAATGAAGTTTAGGTTTCCAATTGGTGTTGAGAAAGGAGAAAAGGAATGTGCACAGGTTTCTCAGTAAGTCCAATCAATTTAGGGTTAAGAAATAAGTTAGCCTTTTCTATCCTAAAAGGATATAAGAATCCTATACTTGTAAGACATGTAACCATTAGTCTGTGTACTATAAATAGGCTTGTTTAGAGATGTTTATTCATACGAACAACATAGACAATACAAGGATAAAGAGCCAAGAGAGAGAGAGAGAGATCTAAAGCAAGGTTTTGTGGGTTTAGCATAAGGGTTTTCAATAAGTCCTTGTAACCAAGTTGTTATTCTCCATAATGCTGGTGATTTCTCTAGAGAATCACACAAGGAGTAGCAAAGTTCACCAAACCTCACTATATTCTTTGTGTTTGTGTGTGGTGTTTTACTTTATTGTTCATAAATTATTTCGCTTAATCACATAGCATAATCATATTAGTTTGCATAACACTGGATACTATCAATGTAAATGATCAAACTAAGAGGATTAAAATATAGATTATCACCCACACAAATTCAATAATGTAGCTCTCTCATTCTCTCTCTCTCTCTCTCTCTCTCTAAACTAGCTACTTAGTTATTTTGGTTCCATGATGTATAAACAAGTTCTGGATATTGGATCAGTCCATACACACACACATATATGTATGTTATCTGGCTAGTGCATTACCAGTACTATATCGTTAGTAGAAGAAAAAGTCAAATGTTGCTTGCTTATCTCTTGCAGCTTTTTTTACTTGTTTTCATGAGTGGATGGCCAGAAGTTGCACCCATACCCTGTTCCAATTAAAAAAATAAAAAGGACTTAATTTACCATCCAATTTGCCTACGTATATATAGCTGCATAACATTTTCTATAAACTGGAAGAGTTCAGACTGGAAAATTGATTTTCAATTTTTTTCATGCACATTTATATTTAATTATAATTTTGAATTAGATAAAGTAAAGGAGAATCAAATGATATAAATAAATAAAATAAGCAAAAAAGAGAAAAATAGTATGCAAAAATGATTTTCCTTCAGAATGTATTCAAACGATTTAGTTTATGTTTCTATTAATTAATTAGTTCGATTTTTTTTTCTTCATTTTAAAAAGGAGGACAACTGTTGGCAAGTCACAGTTATCCACCATTTTTGGGGACCGAAAAGACTCACAAAGGCATTTCAGTATCTCTCTGACCACATTTAAGCAGACTCACTATCACACCATATTCAAATGCTACTTTTTTTAGCTTATTAATTAGTTCGATTGCAAATGCTACTTTTTTTAGCTTATTGTCGAACTAAGAAGGCACACAACATATCCATTTCAGAATTGGGAAAAAAAAAAAAAAAAAAGGTGTGAAATATAGAGTGAGCATGCCTGCCAAGTAATATCCACATGAACTAGAAGATGAGAAACTCTAGATAAGAGAACTGATCAAGTCCATTTATCATATCAACTCCATAACACATTACTACAGCTTTGCAAAAGGATTTTCTAGACCATCATATAGTTCATAAATCTACTGAACAAAAACCCTAGAAAGATAGTTATGGCCCAGATCAGAGAAGAAAAACGATGCCTATTACATAAACTGGTGACAACGATACTCTGCTGATGAGTTAATCATAGTCTCCTTAATTCCTTCTACTGCGAAAGTAAGCTCCTGATTACAGCAGCTTGGGCAGTGTCAGTTGTTGCCAATAACTCGGACAGCCGCTCACTTAGATCGTCCACCTCTCTGTGCAAGTTTCTAATGTAGTTGCACGTTTCCTGTAGCAGTGTGGATGCTGAAACCTGTGGGCATATGTAATTCACTTTGATTAGCATGATATATCACATTCTAGTAACTTGAATTAGCACTGTAAACTATAGATTAACTGATTAACTCAATTCAACTTCCAAAGTAGGAAAATAATTTTGCCCGGATATATATATATATATATGTATATGTATATGAATGTGTGTGTGTGTGTGTGTATATATATAATATATGTATGTATGTATGTATGTATATCTATATTCTTCAGGAAAGAGTGATTCATTAAGAAGAATTTATAGAGAATTATATATTGATAGAGTAGTATATATGAAACGTACCCCACAATCAAATCTCTACCCTTTTCTTTTGTTAACCGAAAGGGTTTGAACTACAGACCTAGCCTATTCTTACCCATCACTCTACACAAATAGGATACCTAATAGCTTAAAATAAATTTTCTACCTCATATCTTGATCAAATGGTAAGATGGGAGCTAAATAAAGTATTGTAGCGGTTACAAGACCCATATATATAAAAAAATATTTGTATTCAGTTTAACCTTCTTTGCTTATCTTTGGATACTATAGAGCAAGGAAAGCCCAAAAAATTCTTATTATATTTGTTTTTCCTCTTATATATAGTGATCTCATATGAAAGAGAAGCCAAAACCTAAGCGAAAACAGTATGAAAAGTACTTATAGTTAATGAAATAGATAGATGTATGTACCTTGCCAGAACGTCTACTATTGCGAATCTCAGGAAGAAGCTGTTGCAACTTGGAAACAAGATCATTAATCTGATCGTCGGAGATTCTTGAACCACCGGATTGCCCAGATCTTGACCTTCGGCTAGACATTGCGAAGTGTGTGAGTTGGTAATGTTAATTTGACGTATTGGCGAACTGTAAAATACTAAAAAATCGAGCTGAAAACTAATGTTAACTCAAAGGGACAAATGGGAAGGAGTTATAAGTGTCAGAACTTCTAAGTGCATGAATGTCACAGAGAATCACAAGGTGGATATTCAACTTAGAAAGTGTAGAAAGAGAATAAGTGTTGAAGACAAGTTATGGAGCTAAGTTTCTGGTATTTTATAGAGAGAGAGAGAGAGAGAGAGAGAGAGAGAGCAAAAACAGAAGCTGTGGGATGTTGGGTAATGTTGAAGACAATTGCATGAGAGAAAGGGGTGGGCTAAGTCTGTATTTATATAGGGTTTTGAAGAGGAGAGAAAGAGAGAGAGAGAGAGAGAGAGAATATGAAGTCAAGTTGCTAGAGAGACGCCATAATTGATGTCTCTGCCTTGTATTTTGCAATTTCCAAATTGTCCTTCGGAAGATATGTTTCAATGTGATTGTCACGTGGGGTGGTTTGGATGTCTTTGGTGAATTTTCTTTTGTCTTTTCGGATGTAACTATGTTTGGGAGATAAATTTAAAAAAGAGAGAGATATAGGTCTATATTTTGTAAATACAAGAATTTCAAGAGAATTGAATAAAGTTATAGGTTGTCGATTCAAAAAAGTTATTGTGCATTCTAAATTTTTTATCTTAAAAAAAAAATTTAGAAGTAGAAAATGAGCTTTTTAAAGTGTTGTTAACATCTCCTTAAAATTAAATAGACTTAAATTGTATGGTTACAAGCTTACAATGTTAATTACAAGGAGACTGTTTAGAATAAAACCTTATATAAAGAAAGAAAATAAGTGTGCTGGATTAGTGTTGTGTCTTGTGTGTATCTTGTGTACTGCGTGTGTGTGAGATTGAGGAACAACCAAAAGTGGGCTACGTGATGAGCGGTCTTAAGTGTTGACCAGTCAAAGTGATGAACACACCATGTTCTTTGCCCTAGCAAGGTGATATGGCGCCACGTGTCGTCACTGGAGCCAAAGCGTTACGCCGACCTGGGCATAGTGATTCATGACTTCTTTTATGTTATATATGCTAATTGGTAAGTCGTATTTTATAATAAAGTTTGTGTTGAGATCACTACACGCTCTGATCCTAGCTAGTTGATGCAACAATATTGCCAAGTTAAGCAACCAATTGTGTATTCTGCTACAGTGTTAAAAGTTTCGGAGTTATGTTGATATATTTTTCCAGTCAGTCCCATTTCGTTGAAGAATTTCTAATAAAATAATCAAGTTTATTTTAGGATTTTTTGTATGTCTCACTCTACGTTGTATTTGAATGTTTCTGTTACATCCTACATTGCCCAGGGGAGTGGATGCCTTATATGTATATTCTCATCTTTGCCTAGCACGAGGCATTTTGGGAACTCGCTTAACTTTGGAGTTACATCCCACATCACCCAAGAGAGTGGATTCTGTAAGCCTTCTATGTATATTCTCATCTCCATCTAGCACGAGGCCTTTTGAGAGCTCACTGGCTTTGGAGTTCATCGAAACTCCGAAGTTAAGCGAGTTTGCGCGAGAGCAATCTCAGGATGGGTGGGAAATTCTTGTGTGAGTTCCCAGAAAAAAAAAACTGTGAGAGCGGTGTCGGGGCCCAAAGCAAATAATATCGTGCTACAGTGGAGTCGAGCTCGGAATGTGACAATTTCAACCGTCTATTTTTCAGGTTAGCTCTCAAATATCATTTCTACAAAAAAAGGGAACATTTGGATTGTTGGATTAAAAGTAGTCATAATAATGTTTCTTTGAAAAACTGTATTTATCTATTTTATTAACTACAATTGGATGTCTTAGTGATTTTGGATTTGTCTAATTTTGTGTAAGGATGATCTATGAATGGTATACTAAAATATAAACCGTTTGGATAGTCCAAAAAGTTTACGGAATAAGCACCACAAGGACAATAAAATTACAAGGGAAGGGGATTTTTTTTGTGGTATTTGTAGTTCGTTCTTTTATTTTTATTTTTGTAATAGGGTTGGAGAACGAATGTTTAAGAACGTTCATTTACACTCGAGGTTCCGAGTTCGAGTCTTGTCAACTTATCGCTTATATGAAAATAGAAAAACTTGTCCATGCAACAATTAATTCTGAAGCACTCCTAGCTAGTTGATGCAACAATATTGCCAAGTTAAGCAATCAATTGTGTATTCTGCCACAGTATTAAAAGTTTCGGAGTTATGTTGATATATTTTTTCAGTCAGTCCCGTTTCGCTGAAGAATTTCTTATAAAATAATCAAGTTTATTTTAAGATTTTTTGTAAATCTCACTCTACATTGTATTTGAACGTTTCAACTGTCTATTTTTTAGGTTATCTCTCAAATATCATTTCTACAAAAGAAAAAAAAGGGAACATTTGGACTGTTGGATTAGATGTAGTCATAATAATGTTTCTTTGAAAAACCGTATTCGTCTATTTTGTTCACTACAATTAGATGTCTTAGTGATTTTGGATTTGTCTAAATTTTTTGTAAGAATGATCTATGAATGATATACTAAAATATAAACCGTTTGGATAGTCCAAAAAGTATACGGAATAAGCACCACAAGAATAATAAAATGACTACGGAATGGGATTTTTTTAGTGGTATTTGTAGTTCGTTCTTTTATTTTTATTTTTGTAATACTGTTGTTTAAGAACGTTCATTTACACTTGAGGTTCCGAGTTCGAGTCTTGTCAACATATCACTTATATGAAAATAGAAGGGTTGTGATTTTCACACACCCCTTCATATTTTTTAATACTTAATTTGTATCCTACTATTTAATCTTCCATATATACCCTTCCCTATTTAATCTTTCATTAATTACTATCAAAAAGTAGGAAGGGTATATATGAAAGATTAAATAGTAGGATACCAATTAAGTATTAAAAAATAGAAAGTGATGTGGGAAAAGTAGTTAAGGATGTGTGAAAATCACAAACAAATAGAAAAACCTTTCATGCAACAATTAATTCTGAAGCACATCGATCGAGAACCACATTAAACAATTTAAGTACACACACACACATCGCAGTAGAAGTATCCAATGATTTTAATTTGATGATCTTGATGATGATGGCATTGCTCTTCTGGTGATGCACAAGCGCACTTGCTGTGGAATCTTAATTTTAATATACCAAGCATAAATAGTACATCTATAACCAAACTAATAATGTTGTATTTATATATGGATGCAGAAATATAATCAAACTTTAGTGAGAGAATAAAGATCTAACAATGTTGTAGTAATTTAAATTTTGATCAATATTTTTAGAGATATATAGACAAAACCGAACATGATTTCCCAGACACGTGCTTGTAATGATCCAGTCCATTTAATAGTTGTAAGGCTACTGGAAAGTTGACCAATTATTTAGTATGCATAAAAAAAAAAAATTTGTAAACCAAGGTAACTAAATTATTAAGTTTATAAAAATATATATAACTTGAGAAGACTCTTTACCTTATTGGCCCATCAACCTGGATGGTCCTGATCCTTTCCTTTGTATATCATAAAAGTAATGCTATTCATACCATGTTTTTATACCATATTTCTATACCACCGTAGGTGACATCTGATGTGGACAGCCACATCATTTGAAAATTTTGAAAAACCTAAGGAAATGAATAAGAAAGACTCCTCGTATACCACAATATTCATTTAATTAACTAGTTTTTCTTAATTATTAGCTTATTAAATAATGAACTAAATTTAAAAATCTGATTAATTCAAATGATGTGGTTGTCCACATCAAATGCCACCTAAGTTGGTATGAAAATGTGATACAAAAACATGATTTGAATGACATTACTCATATCAGAAATCTCTAAAATTAAACAAATGTTCATAACAAATTGGTTCCTTCCTGCAGGGTCAACGTTTCGACTTGCAACATAGCATTCACTAGTATGTAGAAGCACTCAAATATCCCTGGTATAGAGGTGTATATATATATACACTGTGTTACTATAGTTTAATTCCTTTCATGTTTTTTTTCTTCTATGAGTAATTTCAAGTTCATATATACTACATTGCAGAAAAAAAAGTTAAGAAAATTATAAAAAAAAAAAAAATTGAAAACTTTGAGTTTTAACGATAAGGACAAAATAAAGGGTAAGATGAATACTACCATGATTGACTTTTTAATTAAAAATGTAATTTTTCGTTAAAATGATCAGTACTAAGAATTTTTCGTTACAATTCTTAAAAAAGTTAGCAGGGAGCCTAAATTAACCGTCACAACTACTTACTTTTTAGATTTATGGCTAGAATAATGAGACCTAAGATTTGACGATAACCATAGAGAAATAAATTATGATTTGAACTTCATCTAAAAAGAAAGAATCTAGCTTCTCTGCACTCCTACTTCCCATATACTCTCATTTCTTCTTATTTTGTGCGATCACAGTTAAGCCACGTCAATATTTTATATTGATTTTTTTTATAGAGATAATAAGACAAAAAACAATAATAATATAAAATGTTGACATGGCTTAACCGTGACCGTATAAATATGAAGGAATGAGAGTGTATGAAAAGTGGGAGGGCAGAGAAGATAGGTCCAAAAAGAAAAGCGTGAGTCAAAAGGCGAAAAGTTTTGAACTTTAGTAAAAAGCAAATTAAGAATCAATTTTTATGAGTTGAGTTCATTTCATGTTTTTTTCATGAAGAATTTTCTTCATGTTACATTGAAAACGTTAGTTTATTAAATAGAAGTGTAAACTAATCATTTCTTAAGTTTTAAAGAAAACGCCAGGTAATACCCTTCATTATTTGTAATTGTTTGATGAGACTTAAACCCTAAACCCTAATTTGATTTACAAACGAAAGTTTTGGTAACTCTAAAAGAATAAGATAGGGCGTATTCAATCGGGATTTTGAAGGATTTTAATTTTTTTAATGAATCTAGGGATTTTGGGTGTATTCACTTAAATTCAATTAGGAATTTAAGTGATTATTTAAAATTCAATGTATATTCAATCAGAATGTTAAGATATTTTATTAAAATCCTTAGAAATATGGGTGTATTCAATTAGGATTTTAAAGAAATTTATAACATCCAGGTGTATTCAATCAGAATTTGAAAACGTTGAATTAGAGGGAATTAGACGTAATATATTTTAAGCATTCACAAATCTCACATTTTTCCTAGAGTTTTCTAGAGAATTGAATCAAAATTTTACATGGAATCTCTACAAATCAATTAAACTCCATAAAAATTCATGAATTTATAAATCCATTAAAATCTCTCAAATTTCAAATTG